TGCCGACGGCGGCAGGAACTTTGCAGCGTGATATAAACAGTAGCAAAGGCCTCTTACGGAAATATAAAAAGTAAAGCAAAGAGACGGCGCAGACCTCGCTTCTGAAACGGGGCCAACGGGGCCAACGAGGAAACGAGTGAGAGGAGCAAAACTTATTTAACCCACAAATCACCAAACGTTAGGAGTGACCCTAATCGAATCAGCTGGCGGCAAAGCTGACGTCGACGCGCAAGCAGGCGGGCAGCGAGCTGCGCTCACGGCAGGCTATCTAACCGCATAACGCGGCGAACGCAAACTGGCAATCAATCAATAATTTAAAATTTAAAGCTGCGACCAGGCTAAGACTCTGACAAGCCAACCGTTGAGTCCCAAGCCAATCCTGTCACTACTCGCTCGAGGGAGGTATCTGATTGGTCCGATGGACGTGGCTGTACACGCATTTAAGGTATTGTCTCCCAGGTACGAATTTAAAACAAGCGTACACAGCAGGATTTATATGTACAAACAAAGTTCGGGACAGCTTTTCAACTGCTTCGTGTCTTTGCATGAATAAGATAACAAATGAAGAACACAGCAGTTTAATTTCCACAGAATCAATATATAACAGCAAGGTCATTTTTCAACGCGACGAATAGTCAATAATAATGTCCGATTTTTTCGTGCTCGAACAAGAACTCAGATGTTTTGAGGTCAACAGAGTGACGACTGTCTAGCAGATTTATTGTAATGGCGGACCGCTGTACTTTGTTTTCTTGTTTAAAGAACCTATTAGGCAAATTTTCAGCGGCCCTGGTCGCCAATTGCCTTTCTGTACACCCAATGTACTTGCATCCGCAAGTGCACGTGAATTCATAGAAACAATTTGGGGTGGCATGCAAAAGCAAGGCATCTTGTGTCCGAAATTCGTTCGTACAAATAAATCCGTGTACGCTAAAAGGTTTCTGATTTTGCACTCTTCTTGTTGTGTTCTGCCACTGGACCCATATAAGGCGTAATTAGACGGTGACCTCTCGGCTTTTACAACATTTACAATACCAAATACAACTAAGAATTTAGTCTCCATTCAGCTTTTAAAAATCTATATTCGATTGGCGTTTTGGCTATTTGAAGGTAGAAAATGACTCCATGAGGATCATTTTGACCTCACTGGCTGGCTGAACTATGCTGGTCATCAACAGGGCCTAGAAAAGTTAAGTAGTAAACAAATCAAACTTATTTGGATGACGATATGTTCAGGCGGTTACTCGCTTAGTTAAGCCGGAAAGCAGGGACAACAGTATTGGAACGGCGGGAGGGGGCTAGACTCATAAGATTCAAAAAGAAACAGGAAACGTTGGCGATAAAAAGAAAGCAACCGTCAGATATGTATGGTACGAAGGGAGCAAACCGTAGGAAACGGGAAGGTTTTCACGGAAACCGAAGACAGCACGCTAAGAGTGTGAAGGATGGGTCGATAAGGCTGCTATGGGATGGGGAGGGGGAAGAGTATATTGCCCGCTACTCGGAGAGTTTTTGTAGATATGTCGGGTATGGAATAATGATTTGCATTCGAAAAGCTTTAGAAATACAGACAGCCTTCGATGTCAGCGTGATAACGAAATGCAAGTAGCATTGTGTGCTAGAGTTTAGAAGCAAAGAGCCAAAATGAAAAAGGTGACTTACCGCTAAGGAGGGTATGAAGAGACCAGTAGGAACTTTAATGCCGAAGGTGAAGACGGTAATCACGCCCTTGAAAAGTAGCGTTACGGCCAACATCCACATGGCCGATGAAACGCCAGGGCCAGCGGGGTAGCTTCCCAAAAGCACGGCTTGAGGATCACTAAGATTCACTTTGTAGTCACTATGATTTAGCATAAACAAAACCCTCTTAGGATAGTGCCACAAATAAAGGCGAAATATCCGACAAACTATATCACTTGTGCGAGAACTAAGTCATAAATTGAATTTAAAAAAAAATACAGTTGCACGAGTCTCGAAAGGTAGTACAGTAGTCGCCGGCTATTAAGCCCACCTCGGGCCCAGACCAA